AAAAATCATTTTGATTGTTTCCAATAACAAGTGATTTTGGGATGATGAGTATGATAGTGAAAAAGGAATTGATGAGGAGAATTAGGAATTAACTGAATTGGAGAAGCTAGCCAAAACCCAGGTGAGCAGAGTACCACAAAAGATAAATTGAGTGTCAACACTTTGTGATGATAACTGATATTGGTTGATTCTTTGATGTGATTACATGTTAGCAAGACTTGAAAATGATAAAGGCATTTTTTCTTTGTAGTAGATATAACCCAGAGCCAAATAGTCAACCCTACATTAATTATAGGACATCCATTTGAACCCCTTCTGAGCCAAAAATAGAATTATTTCTTAAACAGAACCCTTAAGCCTAAACACTATTTATCTACCTTCCTATATTTGAGGAAGGAAATGAGTATGAATGTCACTATGTTTCTTATTGTTGGGTATTGCTATTGTTGTCCTACAGGTATTATTGGGGTGTTATTCTTAAAAAAAATATAAATAAAAAGGAAAAGCAAAGCTTATAAATTGGCAAAGTCAAAAAGGATACATGCAAAAGCATAAGAAAAAAAAGTATAAAAGTAGTTCAAGGGGGGAATAATAACTTGTGAGATTATTATTAACTCACTGTCATTGTGTTAGGGACAAAAGAATGAAGTTTAAAACCTGACTTGAGGAATTGTTAATCAATAATCATTCATATGAGTTGAATTTCTCAAATATTTTATTTTATATCCCAGAAAAACCAATAATTCTTTCTTAGCCCAGCCCCATTACAAGCCTCAAAAAACCTTTTGATTTAAGTCTTGTTTAACAATTGTTGATTGCTTGAAGATGATTATCAATATTGGATTGTCTAAATGAAGTGATTGAATGAGATAAACACTTACCTGTGAGAATTAGAGATGAGTATATATAACTCTTTTTGAGAGATCATGCTTCTCTGAGTTGTTGGTTTATGTAACTTGAATGCTTATGTGTTCCATTTTCATTTGGAGTTGTGAGCATCACCTCTGAAAATTTTTATGTTGTGGTTTTGGAAGAGAAAGAGATAATAGGTGATGATTTTGTTTTGGAAAAACTACTTTGCTTGGGACAAGTAAGATTCTAGGTTGGGGGAAGTTGTTAAGTGGTAAAAAGTTGATATAATTATGCCTTGAATTGTTATGAAACCACTTAACTTATGTTAATTCTAATATATTTTTCTCCCAATATAGGATGAATTCGAGAATACCTTGATACAAGAGTAAGGAGCATAATTGTCAGCATAATTGAAGTAAAATTGAAAGAAAGAAGAGCGCTTAAGCGAATGAATGATGCGAGGTCCAGCCCAAATTCTCTTATAAAAAGATAAGTTGTGTTTTGAGAAAATGAAGCAGTCTTGGAGGAGAGGAGGCACGACTACTGTTAGGGTTTTGTCTAATCTTCATCAATTCTTCACTTCTTCATCAATTGGAGTATTGTAATGGCCAACATGAGTGACTAACTTCATTCTCTTAGGATTCAGTGCACTTCCTTTGAACTCTTTTGTATCATGGTGATATTTTGAGATATTAATCTATGCTTTGATGTTGTTATTATCCTTTATGCTTTGGAATGATTTATTCTTGATTGTTTGAGGTATGATTGGAAAATATATCTTGAACCCTAGATCACGGTAAGAATATTTGTTACGTTAATTGTCAGGAATGGAATGAATGTATCAATTTCTTAACACCCTAACCCTAATGCTGGAATATTTGTTAATTGTGTGAGGAATCAATATTTATTAGGTTTTCTTATGAATTTCATGTGTGAGGAATCAACATGGATGATTTGAGTAGGTGGCATCAACATTTTTAGGTTAATTGACGTTCTTAATTGACATAACCATTACAAAAGAGGGATAAGGAAGGAAGTCAATCCTAAGTACCTTTAATTGATATTTTCTCAACAATTTACAGTTCTTTGTCATTTAATTTCAATTCAACTCTTATTTGCAAAACACAATCTGTTTTAATCTACTTAGTAAGCATAATTGGAAATTTCCATTGAAATTGTTCCTCGTGGGATCGACTTTTATTTAATCGAAATACTATACTGCGATTAATAATTTCGGTACGCTTGTCAATAATTCAATAGTCCTCGAATATAAAACTATGTTTTAGTACATTTATGAGTCTCACATCGCTTATGAGTCTAAACCAATAGTAATTTATATACACCTTCATTTCTCAACCGACATGATAATAGACTCTAACAATATTATCGTAATAGATACGAAGTCAGACACTTTCAAACCTAAAAAGATATACATTTAATAAATATATGGTCATTCTTAAAAGGAATATATGATATGCAGATGGTGTCCACAAGAAGGACAAAAATGAAAGTTGAATTCAAAGCCAAAGTAAGTCTTGCAATGAATGTAAATATTGACTAAAGATACGAATTTCATGTTCTCCCTAAAACTCCAAAAAAGGAGAAGATTAGTTATTTTAAGGCACTCTCAAAATAAGAGTATGTGATATCTAATATAAAACTCATATGTTTGTTATTTTGACATTTTTACATCAGATATAAGTTCAACATTAATGTAGGAGACATAAATTTATGTCAGACATAAAAACATACATCAATTTACGTCAATCATGTAGATAACCCACATCAATTTATGCCAAAAAAATAAGAAACAAACGTAAAAGGGTTTCAAATATTAAAAAATGGGACGAAATTTATGTCGAGTTACGTTGGACATCTCTATAACCGACGTAAATTTACGTCTGTTATGATCTTATCCGATGTAAATTTACATTGGATATTGACAAATTCGACATAAATTTCGTCCTATTTTTTTAATATTTGGTTTGTTTTGTCTTATAACCAAAACATGCAAACATATTTTAATCACAGACAATCCAGATTCTAAATTTTTAGTAGACAATAATTCAAAATACAACAATATAATATGATACAATATGATACAATTTATAAAAGCTAAATTAGTACAAAGAATAAACTACTTAAAAGTTAAACATTACAAAGCTAAATTAATATAAAGACTAAACTAGTACAAAAACTAAAATACATAAATGCTAAACTACATAATACAATACAATATAATACAAACAATAACCTACAAACTAAGTACTAGAAATGTTGAACGATAAACTTTGCTCAGTGTTCTCTAATTTGTGTAATATCATGTTTTGATAGTGGAGATGGATCTTGAAATACCTAAAACATTAATTTGACTTAAGTTAACATGCAATATGCATAAAGGTAAATCAACTTAACAAATGTTGAAAGCAATTACCTCCGTCCAATAATCAGTTATACTCGCACAAATTATGGTTCTCATATAATACATGATGTAGTAGTCACATTCAAAGAAGTTTGTTTGATTATTACACTAAAATGAGAAACAAAACATAATGTTATTTTCAAAATATAAATACAAACAATAATTATAGTGTTTATATAAATAAGTTTCTAACCTTAGGATATACGTGCAAATTTTTTGTTCTGGGTCTTTCACTTAGAACATTAGTTCCAGACACAATTTTAATTGAAACAAAGTTAGTTATTATTCAATATATATTTACACTTTAAAAATATAATGAAAAAAAAAGATAAAGTTGTCATTGTAACAAGTTTTTCATTTCTTGACTTGGTTTTCGGTGTAATGAACAAAATCACACTACATTGTAATCCCTGAAAATGATTACAATTAACTGCCAATGTGACCTACATTATATAACATAAAAATTAGTTATAAAAGTGACGTGATTAAAAAATACATATTAAAATACTAACCTTCAATGTATGAAACCAAGTATATATGTTTTTGTGAATCACTCATCCATATTTATATATATTACTGGATTTCAACATTTGTATTTCCAGATTTTTGGATGGATTGAGGCTCAATAAATTCATATACTTTATAATTTTCTTGTTCCACACTCAATTTGTCAATGTACCTAACACAATGAATTACAAATTAAATATAGTTAGTATATGTTAGAAACATAAATGAAAATTATTTACATAACCCACAATTGTATGATGGAAATGTTTAACATGTAGTTTTTCACAATAATAGTGAAACAACAAAATTGTTAATTTCAAATACTCTAGTGTCTCACTAACCGACACGGTCTCTTCCTTAATCATGTAATATGGTCAACAACATAGATATGAAATCATCCTCAAATTCTATATATCTTCATTAATAACAAGTTATCTCTTATGTTTACCACGACGAATAGACTCCTAAAAAAATGATAACAATTAATTAAAGATTCCTAAAAAATAATAACAATTATTTAAACATTCATACAATTATAAAAATAAAAATATGAGAAAATACACAATATATTACTTTTACCTGTGTTGAGAGTGACATCACTAAATGTCTTGATCAAGCAAAAAATGTATCAGTTGTCTACTCCACTAATTGAATCTTTATTAATTATTATTATTATTAATAAACATCATGACCTTTATTAATTATTATTCTCATGCCTATAGCTATGAATAATTAAGTCACCCTCAACAACTCAACCAACCGTTGCTAAACATGATAATCATCTTCAAGATATAACTCGTAACTCGTAGTACATCAATACGAGTATATTTCCCTGAGGGATATGCAAAAGTAGCAGTAGTCATAACTTAACTTCCTTTAATATTGATTCCAACAACATCATCTTGAAATGCCATCTCTATTTTTCTAAAGTTGGGTATTTTTGGTTCCGACCATGGATTACATAAAAAGCCTTTTTGCCCAAGTGACTAAATGAACACATGTCATAGACTCTATGGAAGAAAGAACAAATAGAGATACTTGTGATAACAAAAGCAATGCGACACGTGCTAATATAGTAGTTCATTAACATTCTTTACTTATATATATATAAAAGAAAAGCATACACGTACATAAACAATGTACAAGTACTATACACCGTACTTGTCCTTATTGACACACCATACATAAACATGAGAAAGCCATTGATCCACGTACGTGATCACACAACGCTTGCAATATTCATGTCTTCTTTCTCCTCCTCCATCACATTGTTCTTCAAGCTTGAAGAGAAAGACCATGACAGAAGGGTATTTCTTTGTCTCTCTGCTCCTGTTGACGCAGAGAACCCTACTCTAATCCATTGAGGAAGCACTGTAGTGAGCTCAACGTCATGGGAGAGAGTCACAGCTTTACTCCCAGGATAAAAAGTAGTAACAGATAGTCTTTTAGAGGCAGAGTTATAGCTGATGTGTGCAGTGGCTGCTTTCCCATTTTGCCAGTCCCACGCAACAGTTGCCTTGGACCTGATAGAGTTGACATCGATTCCAATGTGTTTGTATCTTGGATCACCAATATTGTCATTAGGGTAGGTGTCAAATTCAACGGCAACAACGTTGTTAGATACAGCTTTGAAATCAACAGTGGTTTGGTTACTGGTGGTGGAGTTTCTTAAAGCATTTAAGTTAGAAAAGAGTCCAAGGAGTTTGCCAGCAGAATATGGAGGGATGGCAGTGTCATTTGGTGCAAGGAAGAAGGTGAAGCCATCAGCTGGAGTAGTGTAAGGTGTTGAGATTTTAAAGGTGAAAGTGGTATCAAAGGTTGACACTACCGTATTGCTTTCCCAGAGGCGCACTGGTGCAGAGTATAACACTCTTCCCACACTGGTACTCACAGGGTTTCCATTACTGTCTAACTTGGTGAGTTGTATGACATTGCTGCTAGAAATGGCATGACCTTGGAAGATAAGATCCTTTTGGTCAGAATCAAACTTGGTAAAGGTGAAAGACACTGACTGGGCTGACTTCACCGTGTTGGGGAACATGAACAACATTGTCACAAAGGCAAGAAAAGGAATTAGGAAAGAGGGTTTGTTGGGTGAGGCTTGATTTGGGTTTGAGGTAGCCATGGTACTGAATTGATATGAGTGAGTGGTGCTATGAAGTTCGGTTCTTAGTGTAGAGTCCATGCAAAACCTTCCCTATTTATAATAAGTTGGTTAGCTGAGGATAGATGCAAAGTGTGATTTGTTATAAATAATAGTTAATTATGGCGGGCACGTGGTCCTTCCGTTGCAATTTTTCATTAGAGCTTAGCCGTATTTTAATTATTATGTACAGTGTCTATCCATTATATTGGAACTAAACTAATATAATCTATTCCAGATCACTACTTTAGTAACCAGTTTATAGTGACTGAAGTCATTATTATGAAAACTAAATTAAGAAATTTAGTAATACTAATTTCAAGTAAGAATGTACAACACAAAACACGTTTAGAAAGCAATTATTTAATAAAAAATTATAGTAAAAATATTTTATCATGTTCAAAATAATACCATCTTTGAAACAATAAAAAATAAGTATTATAATTAATAAAAGTTAGAGACATAATAAAAAATAATAATAAAGTAATTTTTTTATATTTTAAGGTCTGTTTATATGACCCATTTTAGAGAGGCAAATGAAAATACATGATTTGTATTTTTCTTGATGCACAAGTGAATTTTTAATTGTTTCCATTGTCACATATATAAACTAATAATGTCTTTTATCCTCAATTTTTTTCTCTATTATAAAACAAGATAAACTCTCTCTCTCGATCTCTATCTATATCTATCTATATATTAGGTTATTGATATTGTAGATTTCTTTAATTATTTAATTAAATTTACAATTAACCTTAAATATAACAAGATATTTATAAATTATTAATAATACAGTATTTATTAATCCAATCAATTTTTCATTTAAAAACACTTAATATACTTCTAATTTTCGTTGTTTTTTTTAATTAAATAATCCTGTCTCATTTCTTTCTAACCCTTTATACACTCGTTTCCTATCAAGCCTCATTTCTTTAAATCCACTGTGGATGTTGTAAAAAATTTCTGAGACTCAAGTTAATAAAATAAAAATAATATTTCTTTTATTCTATTTTTGAATGCAAATGAATTTTGGAGATCAATTTATTTAAGTGAAAAATGTAATGTGATAATTTAACAGTAATTTAGAAAATAGGTGTGGTATTTAGGTTAAAAATTGTCCAATAGGCACACACGTTGGCGTAGAATTAATTGAGTTCCGTACAATGTTAGGTTGTGATGCAAAGTGTGCAGTGTCGGCAAGTACACGTACACCATTCACATTTATGACTCTGTATGTGCTGCAACTGCACTCTTTATTTGACTAGTAATTATATTTTTATACCTTTCAATCTGAACATCGACTCCAAAACCTCTTTTTATTAATATAATAATAGTAAAAAATTAATAAAAATAAATTAAAATTATTATTATAATATTAAAAGTGAATTATTTTTAAAAATTATATAAATATGGAGTGTCACAAATATTATTTGACATATATATATATATATATATATATATATATATATATATATATATATATATATATATATATATATATATATATTTACGGATATTTTGATTTTCAAGTTACACTAAAAGCATCTTACTGGAAGTTAACCATACCAAGTATGAGAAAAACCTTTTATCAGAGGAATTTAACGTAGTAGGTATAGTAATTTTTTAAAATTTTTATAACTATTTTATTAAAAAATAAATAAAATAAAATAAATTAAAAAAATTAAAATTTTATTAAAAAAATTAATTAAATAAAGTTAACAATAAATTTCTTAAAAATAATATGATATTTTATATTTATATTTTTTAATATCAGAAAACACGTGAGTTATTTTATATAAGTCTTATATATTAATTATTTAAAATTAAAAAAAAATCTATATAAATTACTGTAATTAATTTTTAAGTAACTTTTATGTAATCCACTATTTTTATTCTTAAAATCTGACTTAACTGTTCCATTGTTTACTTGTTTCTTACTACATATCCTTATAATATAGACAATATATAAATAAATATTTAATAATTTTTTCATAAAAATAAAAATGTGTCATTTCGTTTATTCATAATAAAAATAATCTTTAGTTATAAGCAATTTTTTTATAATAAGTTATGTTAAATGATCAAATTTTAATTATTTTTTATTTTTTATTATTTTAAAAAATTTGGCAAACACGTAAAACTACAAAAGTAATTTATTTTTTTAAAAAGGTGACGCTTTTGTGAAAAAAATAAATTCCTATAATGCATTTATATAATTCATTGCATATACTATTGGATTGACTTAACAAAATTCGTTAAAAATCAATATATTTTATTTTTTATAAATAAACAAATATTATTAGAATAATATCATTATATCTATTATTTAACCTATGTATAATAGAAATAATAAAATTTGGATACAGTTAAGAGAAAAAAACTTTTAAAATTGCTTAAAATTTAAAGAAAGACTTATAAACAGACTTAATTGTAAACGAAAGGACAGATTAGAAAAGTCAATGTATAATTGAAACTTAGAAAATTAATCATAATATTAAATGATGATGGAAGATGTCAAATTTTGGATGGATTGGTTTTAATAGTGTTTTATAAACTGATAAACTTTGGACATCTCAATCTATTGGAATTCCTAATATTAATTCCATGAAATAAAGGTTTTACTATATTGTAATATATTGATTTTTTATAAGAATTATTTAGAGGAGTTCTTACAATAAATAAATATATTTTAATATGAATCTCATGTATAATTATTTAAAGCAAGTGGAATTTATTTATATAAATAAGATATTATAAAATTTTATACTCTTAAGAAATTTTTTAATCAATTCTTACTTATATGTTCTAAATTTTAGAATTTATTAAACAATAAACATTTCTTTATCGCTAGTGTTTAATTATTATTTTTTTCATATTAAATGTTTTTTTCTGTAAAATTTGGGTTTTAAATTAATTCTCAAACTTTAAAAATTATATAAATCTAATCTTTTTATCAAAATTATAATAAAACCAAATGTTATTAAATTAAAATATTAAAAACATATTTAATCATATTTATCAATTCAGTTAAGTTCAAAGTCATCACTAAATGTTACATTTAAATATAAAAAAAATCACATATTCTATAAATGGGAGGATCAATTAAAAAAATTTATATATAAGGATCAAAACAAGTTTAAAAAAATAAATATACAATAAAAAAATCTATTCAAGCCTTATTTTATCCATTTAAAACCTTTTTAGTATTAGTTTTCTACAGTGTACTTCGAGAAAAATGAATTCCCGAGTGGATATTTTTTATTATGATAAAAAACTTATAGAATATCCTTTGAGTGTAGTTTATTTATTTATTTGTGTCTTTCCTATCTCTTTTATTCATAATGTTTCTACTGAAAAATATAGAAAATTAAATTTAAAAAAAAATAATAAATCAAATTGAAAATAAAAAAATTTATTATTCATTAAACAATGCATACAAATTTAAAAATTTATCAAGCAAACTCTTACACATATGTAGAATGTAGAATGTGTTTCATCTAAAACTTTACTATAGTTTGATTGATAAAAAGTAAGATAGTATTATAACCTACTAAAATTATTAGGATCGATTTATTAAAGTCATCCCATCTATTAAAATTAATCTATTAAGATCGACAAACATATTAAATTGACCTAATAAGGTCATTTAAATAATTAAAATGGATCTATTGAAGTTTATTATGCCTATTAAGGTTTATTAAGATACATATTTACACATAGTAAAATATTTATGGTTGAGAATTCAAGTATATTTGAATACCCATATTTGATTAAAATAAGAAAGTTAAATCACTTATAAATAAAAATACACATAACTTAATATTTTAAGGTTTTAAATTGAAGATGATTTTATATTCTCTTATATAGTTGACTCGTATTTTTTTATTATTAACACTCCTTAAAAAGAACCTAATATATATATATATATATATATATATATATATATATATATATATATATATATGAAAATTTAAATGATGAAAATAAATAAAAAAGAATAAATAAAATTATTTTTGTAAACACTATTCAGCCTCATTCTATTTAAATTATTTTGTTTAAATTATTTTGATTTAACAGCATGTATTATTTATTTGTTTTATGATAAATATCTATTTCTGAGTAATCGTTTCACTTTATATAAATCTTACTTAAAAATTTAGTGCAAATAATGAGTATAAATTGACTCAGTTCATTCTTATAAAACACTGCACCTGTAATATATTTGACATTTGAGCTCAAGGGATATAAGGTTATAACTTGTAAAATAAGAATAAATATTCTATGAATCTTATATAGTTATATATATTAGTGTGAAATCATAAATATGTATGATAAAATAAAAATAAATATCTCATAATTATCGAGTAATTATACTCACATATTATTCTATAAAAAAGTTTGATGTTTCTTTTATTAATTTGGTATTTATCTAATTTCTAATTTATTATTATTATTTATTATCCACTCGTATATTTACTCACTTAACTATCAAACAGGAAGTCTTTTTGATAATTTATCCCTGCTCTTGAACATATATTGTATCACTTAATAGGAGAGTCATAGAAATCTATCATCTTCTAAATATAAGTAAAAACAACAATTATACCTTTTTTTCATTTATATATATTATTATCATTGACAAAAATAACTTAATAACTTATTATTATATAATATGTTGGATGGTCTCACCAACACAAACGAAAATGAAAGTTGTCTTCAAAGCAAAAAAGTAAGTGTCCTAAAATGTAAATATTAATCTAATTAACTTCCTCTCTACTGATTATGAGTACCCAATTATCTTGATTACACCATTGTGTTTAACCAAAGATACGAATTTCATGGTTGAGTAGAACTCAGAAAATTGGATATGGAGAAAAAAAAAACAAAAAAAACAAAAAAGAGAAGATTTACTTATAAAATAAGAGTATGTGATGTTTAATATAAAACTAAGTAAACACGTCATAGAATATATGAAAATTAGAACAAAATATAGAGAGACCTATGATAACAAAAGTAATGTAACACGCACTAACATATTAGTTCACTAACATTCTTTACTCTATATATATATATATATATATATATATATATATATATATATATATATATATATATAACAGATGTTTTCACATTCAATGTTTTGTAAAAATATCCATTTAGTAATCGGATATATTAATATAAAATATTATAGGGTTGATGATTCGGAGTAGGGATGTCAACCCTATAAAAGAAAAACAGGCACGTACATACAAGTACTGTACACCGTACCTGACACACCATGCACAGCAACATGAGAAAGCCATTGATCCACGTACGTGATCACACAACGCTTGCAATATTCATGTCTTCTTTATCCTCCTCCACCGCATTGTTCTTCAAGCTTGAAGAGAAAGACCATGACAGAAGGGTATTTCTTTGTTTCTCTAATCCTGTTGAAGCAGAGAACCCTACTCTAATCCATTGAGGAAGCACTGTAGTGAGCTCAACGTCATGGGAGAGAGCCACAGCTTTACTCCCAGGATAAAAAATAGTAACAGATAGTCTTCTGAACCATGATATATTGATAACCTTTCAAGAAAAACAACTCATTTTATTAATATAATAACTATGAAAGAGATTTAATAAAAATAAAAAAAAGTTAAAATTATTATTATAATATAAAATGCAGTTGTTTAATGGGTTGTTTGTGTAAATAGTCGTGTGAAAATATGTTTTTCCTAGTCTTTTAGAGGCAGAGTTATAGCTGATGTGTGCAGTGGCTGCTTTCTCATTTTGCCAGTCCCACGCAACAGTTGCCTTGGACCTGATAGAGTTGACATCGATTCCAATGTGTTTGTATCTTGGATCACCAACATTGTCATTAGGGTAGGTGTCAAATTCAACGGCAATAACGTTGTTAGATACAGCTTTGAAATCAACAGTGGTTTGGTTACTGGTGGTGGAGTTTCTTAAAGCATTTAAGTTAAAAAAGAGTCCAAGGAGATTGCCACCAGAATTTGGAGGGATGACAGTGTCATATGGTGCAAGGAATAAGGCGAAGCCATCAGCTAGAGGAGTAGTGTAGAGTAAGGTGTTGAGATTTGAAAGGTGAAAGTGGTCTCAAAGGTTGACACTACCGTAGAGCTTTCCCCGAGCCGCTCAAACAAAAGAGAAACAAGTTAAGTTTTAAGAGTTGATTTGATTGGAAAAAAAAAACAGAAAAACATAAATGATACCGTAGGCGCTACAAATAAGAATATTTGATAAGTCAAGAAGGATCGTCACAATAATTGGATAATTCTTGATAAGATCAAGTGATGTAAGGAAGAACCCTAGCAGAGTAACAACTCACAAAGAGATTCTGAATATTACATGCGATCATTCTGAATTTCCAAATATTTAATACAACTTAAGTTTATGAGTTTGTCTCATTTGCAAGAAATAAAGATAAATTAAAATTTTAATATCCCAAGCAAAGTTAAGTTGCTCAGATAATTAAGTGAAGACATTATAAGCTTTGGTTCTTGGGTTCAAATCTCCACTGTAACAAATAATAATAAAAATAATAACTAAATCTTCTAGTTGGGTCTCCTAGCTCTCCAAACATTTTATGCATGTGATAGGGCTAGACTCCTCCATGTTTAGAGCTTTTAATAGTTGGGTCTTTACCAAATTGGTCATTTTGTGTTGCAATGTCTCTTATGCTTTTCTGAGTCTGTCTCTTGTCATAGGTCCACCTAAGTCTTGGATTGGATCTTGATCTTGATCCTTCTCGTTATAGGCTTGAGTCTTTATGTCCACATCATTCCCTCCTTCTTGGGCAGCATTTGTCCTCAAATCTATGAATTCATCTTCTGCATCAAAAGGAGTCAAGTCAGCAACATTAAAAGAAGAACTTACATTATACTATCCTGGTAGATCAATCTTATAAGCATTATCATTTATCTTTTCTAAGACTTGGAATGACTCATCTCCTCTAGGTTGAAGTTTAGACTTTCTTTGTTCAGGAAACCTTTCCTTTCTCATGTGTACCCAAACTCAATCACCAGGTTGGAACACCACCTTTTTCCTACCCTTGTTAGCTTGCCTCGCGTAGTTCTCATTCTTCTTTTCAATTTGAGCTTTTACTTGCTCGTGCAGCTTCTTCACATATTCTGCTTTAGCATGTGCTTCCTTATGCTTAAACATAGAAATGTTAGGCAAAGGCAACAAATCAAGAGGAGTCAAATGATTAAATCCATACACAATCTCAAATGGTGAACAATTATAAGCAAACTCAACATGCGGTAAACATGCTTCCCAAGTCTTAAGATTTTTCTTTAAAATAGTCCTAAGCAATGTGCCTAAAGTCCTGTTGACTACCTCAGTTTGACCATCAGTTTGTGGGTGACAAGTAGTAGAAAAAAATAATTTAGTATCAATCTTACCCCACAAGATCCTCCAAAAGTGACTAAGGAATTTTGAATCCCTATCACTCACAATGCTCCTCGGCAGCCCATGTAGTCTTACTACTTCCTTGAAAAACAAATCAGTCACATGACAAGCATCATCTACCTTCTTGCAAGGTATGAAATGTGTCATCTTAGAAAACCTATCAACAACAACAAATACAGAATCCTTTCCATTCTTTGTTTTAGGCAGCCTTAAAATAAAGTCCATAGAAATGTCAGTCCAAGGATATTCAGGAACAGGTAAAGGAGTATACAACCCATGAGGCTTAACCTTAGATTTAGCCTTTTTACACACAATGCAGTAATCACAAAACTTATTCACATCACGTTTCATATGAGGCCAAAAGAAATGCTCTTGCAAAATTTCTAAAGTCTTTTGAACCCCAAAATGACCCATCAAACCCCCTTCATGTGATTCACTCACAAGCAACTCTCTAATGGAACACTTAGGCACACACAATTTATTTGCTTTAAACAAGAATCCATTATGCCTAAAGTAACCATTTTTAGAAAACTTTTCACATGAAGCAAAAGTTTCAGAAAAATCCACATCATTCACATACATGTCTTTCAAAGATTCAAGACCAAACAATTTAGTTTCAAGCATAGAAAGTAATGCATGTCTCCTAGAAAGTGCATCAGCTACTACATTCCTTTTTCCCTTTTTATGCTTGATGACATATGGAAATTGATCCAAGAACTCAACCCATTTGATATGCCTCTTGTTTAACTTACCTTGTCCCTTTAAGTATTCCAAAGATTCATGAACACTATGAATTACAAACTCTTTTGGTAAAAGATAATGCTGCCAAGTTTGTAAAGCACGCACTAAGGCATACAATTCCTTATCATAGGTGGGATAGTTTAGGGCACCCCCATTCAACTTCTCACTAAAATAAGCAATTGGATGACCTTCTTGTAGCAAAACAGCCTCAATACCCACATTAGATGCATCACATTCAATTTCAAAAGATTTTGCAAAATTTGGTAATGCAAGAATGGGGGCATTAGATAGTTTGTGCTTAAGTTCAGAAAATGTTTTTTCTTGTTTTTCACCCCATTTAAACCCAACATGCTTTTTTACTATTTCATTAAGCACTACAAGAAAAAACACATTTAGCCACCGAAATTAGCGACCGAATTTTTTCGGTCGCAATTAGCGACCGATTTAGCGACCGATTTAATTTTAGTCGCATTTAGAGACCGATTTAGCGACCACTTTAATTCGGTCGCAATTAGCGACCGATTTAGCGACCAAAATATGATTTGGTTTTCACTCCTTTATTTAGCGACCGAAATAGCGACCAATTTTTGTGCGTCGCAAATTTTCAGTCGCTAAATCGGTGGCTATTTCATACATAAATAAAAAAATCATTTAGCGACTGATTTAGCGACGGAATTACACATTGAAATAGCGACCGAATTAAAATCGGTCGCTAATGAGAAAATAATACATAATTATATATGATTTTTGCAATATCGCTCAAGCGAAAATATCGTCGCTCGAGCGACACCACATGCACAAAATTAGCATTCTCGGGTTGTATTTCGCTTGAGCGAAATTGGACTCGCTCGAGCGACATGGGCACTTTTAAGAGCGGTTAATATTTTAACCGCTCTTAAAAGTGAGCATATAATAGCGGTTCCAGTGGAACCGCTATCATATACAACAAGATTTTGACTCTGATCGATCAGATTTTCAAAATGATCGATCATATTTGCTAATTTTTTCAAAGAATTAATTATAATCGATTAGTTTTGTAAATTATTGATTAGAATTGATTAGTTTTTCAAATAATAGATTAGAATTGATTAATTTCTAAATATATATTCAAAAATTATAATTAAAAATATAGATTATTTAAGAATATTAACTATTGTAAAGATAAAGTTGAACATGGGAGGAGATGAGGATGATAATATAATGATAGAAGTTACAAAAATGTAGAATTGGTTTGAAACAAAAAAAATTAAGAAAATAGAGATTTAATTACACTTTTAATAAATTGAAGATAATACTAGTTTTGATTTTTATTTTTAACTATTTATTTTAATTATTTAAAACAGAGAAACTAGTTAATGTTGAAAGTGATGAAGATCTTATTGAATTCAGAGAAACTAGTTAATATTTAAAAGTATTTAACATTTTGAATTCTGAAAGGTTTTCTCTAATAGCAAATTAAAAACATAATATTCAAAAAAATAGTTAATGTTGAAAGTGATGAAGATCTTATTGAAATACATTGACAAAGATCTCATTGATTTGATGAAGTCGAAGATGAAGTCAAAAACAACTTTGCAGTGGACAAAAGTTACTAAGATAAAAGTGTAGAAAGATTAGTGTATCCGTAGCTATGCTTAGGTATAATCATTTTATCTTTTCTGCTGCATGGGGTTTCTTCACTTAAAAGATTTTGCAAAATGCCTCTAAAAATCTTTTAAACAATAAAAAACAAAGTATTTTGACAAAAGCTTTCTTAAACATTTTTTATAACTGATACAGCTTTGATATAACCGATTAAAATTACTTAAAATGTTAAGTGAAATGTTTTTACAGTATTTTAATCGATACAACTTGATTTTAATCAATTAAAACCACTTAAGAGTTCAGGATGATCGATCAGAATTGAGTTATGACCGATCAGAACTTTTTCAATCGATTAAATCTCGTTTCAATCGATTAAAACAACTGAGAAATTCCCTACACAGCATTTTAATCGATTAAAACTTATTTTTATCAGTTAAAATAACTTGAAAAGTTTTACAAGAAAGTTTTGCAGTATTTCAATCGATTGAATCGCGAAACAATCGATTAAATCAACTTAGAAGATTTTTTGTAAAGTGTTTTAATTGATATAAACGTTGTCGTATCAGTTAAAACAAATCTGTTAAAGAATCAAGAACGTATTAATGGATTAAAAGAAGTTTTAACAGATTAAAACTGCACTTTTAACAGATTAAAAGAATCTTTTAACAGATTAATTAATACAGCTGTTTTGAAAATCTTTCTTGAGGCAACTTGATTTCATTTGAAGAAGAAACACTTACAGCAGAATTACATACACTGGTTTGAGCATTCTAGTTTCTTCTTTTTCATTTCTTTATATTCTTTTTGTATTGTTTGGTTCCTGGAATTTGGGCACTGGTTTCTCTGCAGCTGGAATTTGGTTGTAGAGGTTATCAAGAACTGGAATTTGGTTCTTGGTGAGAGGTTGAGTGCAGGAACTGGAATTTGGTTCTTGTGGTAGATTAAGTGTAAGATTGTAAATCTGTAAAACATTTGATCTAGTGGAACCCAGCTGGAATTTGGCTGGAGACTGGACGTAGCCCTGGTATTGGCATTCTCGGGTTGTATTTCGCTTGAGCGACATTGGACTCGCTCGAGCGACATTGGCACTTTTAAGAGCGGTTAATATTTTAACCGCTCTTAAACGTGAGCATATAATAGCGGTTTCAGTGGAACCGCTATCATATACAACAAGATTTTGACTCTGATCGATCAGATTTTCAAAATGATCGATCATATTTACTAATTTTTTCAAAGAATTAATTATAATCGATTAGTTTTGTAAATTATTGATTAGAAT